CGCCTCCTCCTGTCCCCTGCAGCATCTCAACGCCGAGACCTGCGCTGCTCTGCAGGCCCTTCGTCTTAACCTTGATGATCATGAGGGTGGTACAGTGGGAAAATACCTCTTATCTTGGGGAAGACAGGTGAACAGGACATACCCAGACATACCCGGGCAGCAAACTGGTTTCAGAGAGTTTCTCCTGGAAGTTTTTACTTTTGAAGCACAAAACCACTGCGAAGTGAAGGCAGTCACTGCACCACCAGTACAGGAAAGACGGAGAGCAAAGGCTGGTGGGTTTCCTACCTTTCCGACACTGCAGCGTCACCAGGTTGCAGTCGTAGTCCAGCGGCGTGATGATAACGTGCACAAAGTTGAACTGACCCTAAGGAGAGAGCAGTAACACGGTCACGTTTGCGCTGCCGGCAGCCATCGTGACGCGTGTGCATGGCACAGACCGACACCTGCCAGCCCACCAGGGCAGGCGACCTCCGCTCGGGATCTCCGCGCTGTTTGCTAAGGCAGCACACATCACATTAAGGTTCTACAAACAGCCACGTGCTCGTTTTGTAACACACCCCCAGGTAAAATCTGGTACCTTGATCGTTCCCAGTTTAAAGTCCTCTCCAGAATCGTTGTAAACGATAGAAACAAAATCATTCCCAAGGTGCCTCTTCTTGTCACAGCGATATTTGTCCAAATCCTTTGTGGGCATCAGAGTAGCGATGTGGAAAATGGCTGAAGAGGAAGCAGAAAAATCCTTAGGCTGGCCCGGGAAAGCGGCGCTGCGCGCAGCAGGGGCCACCACGCAGCACGCGCCTGGAAGACAAAGCAGCACCAGCACCACAATAATAAAAAACAGCAGCTGGGCTCCCTCGATAGGTTTGTCCCCATTGGTGACAGTCCCACTGGATTGCTTCAGTGGGACCCGGAGCGCAGCGGCCAGCGAAAAGGCAGCCTCCGAAAGCCCCGCTCTGGCCAGGTTTTGGTACCGCCCTGCGCAGTCTGCTCCAGCACCAGGCTCAGCAAAGCGAACGGAGGGCCCGACGTGCTCGTCCCAGCTGCCTCTGGGTTCCCAGAAACGAACAGGGGGCTGCGGAAGGGCTTCTGGGTGGTTTTCCCACAGCCACAGCAGCATGGCGAGCAGAACCTGGTTTGAGGAGGAAGAGTTAAATAGCTTGAACCAGGACTTCCCCTCACGGAGCTCTGCAGGGCCACAGTGAGCAACCTGCAGCTGCTCCACTGAACCAGACTATGCAGGTACGAAAAAATCCGTGAAGTCTATCGCAGGTTGTCGGACCTGGGATGATACCTGCACTGCTTGGTGCTGCAGGAGCCAGGTAACACCACAGCTCAATTAGCAACGACCAC